GCTCTGCTCTGCACAGGCCACTGGCTTTGTCTGCAAGGTATTGAAAGATAGACAGAGGCAGGAGCAGAGGAGCCTAGCCTGGGAGGGCACACCCTGCCTAGTTCCCGCTGCCTCCCTCTGGCCTGTCAGCCTGCTCCTCCCAGACCCCTGGCTTGGCCACAGCAAGCAACTATACCAGAGTACATCTTTCTGTTTACACTTGTCTTGGAAAATCAAACTTGCCTCTGATTAAACAACATGACAGCTCTGGGCTCATTGGATTCAAAGAAATTAATGGATTTGAGGGTGGTGCTGGAATGAAACCCCCACGCAGCCGGTAGTAGGTAAATACCAGCAACCTGGCAGGGGGGCGAGGCTTCTGGGACTTCTCCTGAGTAGTAGACAGACAGACAGACCCTGCTGTCTTTAAGACTGTTCAGGAAAAGCTAAGAGTGACCTCTCATCCTATCCTGTTCCTTTTTCACTGAGCCAAAGATTTTGTATTCTGCCTGGAAATCATCCCTGCGCCCACCCTAGAAGCCAGCAGTGAGGGAGGCAGAGTTGTCCCAGCTGTGTTACTGCTGAGTGACCTCGGGAAAGGCATTTGTTTTCTGTGTTTCTCTCCCCATCTGTAAAGCGGGCGGTTGAATCATCCTTTTGCTCATCCTTTTCCCCACAAGCAGCAGAACTTTTCCAGGAAAGCCCATCAAGTGTCAGCAGAGCTGCCCTGGGTGACACAGGTTAAGCCCACAAAGACGGGTTCCTGGAGCACTGTTCCCCAAGTCAGGTAACAACAGACAGCTTCCTGGAGCACTGTTCCCCATAGGTAACAATAGCTTTCCCAGAGAACTGAGCCAGCGGCAGAGACATCTTCCCCACCATGTTCCCGGCAGCGGCTCACATACTGTGACACAGCCCAAACACTTCACGGCCTAAGACAAGCAGTGGAGTTGGGCAGACCCAGGTTTCAGCGCCAGCCTGTGTGACCTTCTACCAGCTGTGTGACCTTGAGCAAGATACTTCCCTCTCTGAGTCTCTGATTCTTCATCTGCAAAGCAGAGATAAGACCACCCTCATAAGTTTATTCAGAAGCCAAAAAGGCCTGACACAGGGAGTTAGGCACTCAATAAATGCTCATGGTAGAGGGAGACAGAGGAGGAAAGATCCACGGATAATACAATGGCATCAACAACAATCCAGTTACCATTCTAAAGCACTAACCACACACCAGGCACTGCGCTAAGCTCTGCCCCGACACACGTAGTTCTCACAATCCCTATGGAAGGTGCCATCATCTTTCCTATTTAGAGAGGTCACCAGGAGGCCTGTGTAATCACCATACCCCTCTGTCACTCCAGCTGGCTCCTCTGCTGAGCCACAGTGTGGCTTTCTCCTCTGAGTCACCCTACCACTGGGACCACAGGCTCATCTTCCTGTGTTGCCTCAGGGGAAAGAGGGCAGCAGAATAGGAGAGGACACTCATTCCCACCAGTCTGGCCTTGCTTTCCTTCCTCTCAGCCAGCCTGAGGGGCAGATCACATCCCTGCACTCCTCCAAACCTTCCGGTGACTCCCCAGTACCCAGGTACCATGGCCTTCACCATTCATCTCCTCCCTTATGTGCCCCCACTCCCCAGGGAACCCTGCCCCAGCCCTGCCCAACTTCACCCATTCCCCTCCCCTTCCTCGCAAAGCCACCCCTGGCAAATTCCTGCTCATGCTGCTGGGAACGGAGACCTGTGGCAGAGATGAGCACCTCCTCCTTAGGGCTCCCTGGGGTCTGGCTCACAGCCTTCTTGCTGCCTGAGATGAGGCTATAAGGATTTAGTGAGCATCTAACTTTGATGCTGGGCACTGGGTCTTGGGTCTTGGGTCTAGGTCCCCTATGAACCCCTGGCAAATAGCAGGGGCTATAAAAATGATGAATGTTGTTGAAAAAGTATAATTCTACCCCTTCCTGTGGGACCCTATGACAACAGAGAGGCAGACCATGGGGTGTGGACCCCACCCACTGGCCAGTTCTCCCTGAAACCCAAGGGGGAGGGAGAGAAGAGCCCACCCTATTCTTCCTTGCTGTATGAAGCTGATGCACTTGGCTACTGCTGTCCCCTTTTTGTCTGATACCTTGAGAGCTGGGTAGCAGCAAGGAGAGGGGAGAGTGGGAAGAGCAGGAAGAGGGAGATTGTAAGCAGGCCCCACAGAAGCAGAAGGATTAAGCCCCACTGATTCTGCACCACTGTCCTCGGTGGCGGCCTGGATGTGCAGGGGCTCTGGTGACACCAGAAGATAAGATGATAATTGCTTATCCAGGCAGGAGGTTCAGGGAGGGACTCAGCATGTCCCTGCACCCACGTGCAGAGGCTTGGCCTAGATGACCTGGAAGGTCCTTCTTGCTCAGTAAGTTTTTAATTCTTCAGACAACAGGCCCCACTTCAAGACAGCGGGGCCAGACTCAGATGCCTCACCTGGACACACTGGCCCTTCCTGGGCAACCCCAACCAGGTCCCCTGGCATAGCATCCCCGAGCTCCTGACCTCACCTCATTGACGTCGATCTTGTTCCTCTCCATGTAGTCTCTGTCATTGACTTGCCCGCCATCCACAAACTCCATCAGGAGGACCCGCTTGGTGGACAGCTCCCAGTAGATTTGGGGGACCTGGGAGAGGAAAGGGCAAGTCAGAAGGGTCTGGGGAAGAGCACGTGGGGCACAGTGAGCCAGACCACAGCAGAGGCTCCTTCCTAGAACAAGGGAGAGGAGACCAGAGAGGGACCTTGGCAGTGACTAGGGCAGGGAGGGGTGGAAACGAGGCCCAGAGAGAGGCAGGCTACTCCACCTCCGCCAGCTGGGCCCCTAGTCCATTCCTTCAGAGACCCACCTCTTGTTTGGGGGCCAGAGAACGACCTCCCTCACCCTCCTCCACACATACTGTTAAGGGCCAAAGCTAAAACTGGACTCAGGAAGAAAATGTATGAAATGCCTCATACCCAGGCATGGGTGTTAAAAGCTACTTCCCTCCCTGCAGCCCACCATGAGGCCCATTTCAGGTTCCTCGCAAGAATCTTAACCCCGCCTCAGTTTTTTCACCTGGGTATTAGGTATGTTATATATATATATTGAGCAAATGAGTGAATTTTTACTAGATGATAAATTTTGTTTCTCCTACCAGTTTCCTACAAGCCCCTGCAACAGACAACACTCAATCTTAACCCAGCATCTATTCTCAATCCTCCTCTTCTCGAGAGATGGAAAAACGAAATACTTTCCTCACCCGATTTATAGTAGGCATGGCCAATGTGACACAGTTCTGGCTTATGAACATAAGTGGAAGTTTGCCAGGGTATTCTGGGGAGCTTTTTATTTTCCTGATAAAAAGGGAAGTTTGTATGGGCTACTCTTCTCTACTTCTCTTCCTGCCTTAAAAGTGAATGTGATTGTTGGAGCTGCAGCAGCTATATTGCAACCATGAGGAAAAATCCAAAAACATCAATGAGATGCCAGCCCTGGTACTGTCAAACCACAAAAACAGTATCAGCAGACAACTGCTACAAGCCTTCTTGCTCTATGAAGAAAAAGAATCTTTTTGGCTTATGATACTCTCTCAATGCGGCTTTACGTCACCTTCCTACAAATGTATTACTGATACACTCTCTAACTCCCAGACTCCAAGAATACCCCAAACAAAAAAAAAAAAACAAACAAACAGAATTCTCTAGGAGTAGGCAGGAGATTGGAGTGCACTGGCCTTCCATGAGGGAATGTCATCCATCAGAGCCACCCTAGCCAGGAGGGAGGAACTACTGGGCTTTCAACATGCCGTGTTTCCCCCAGATTTGGATGGGTTTATTTTCTCTTACAAATAAAGAAACAAAAGCAGCTAACTGAAATGTATTGGAGAATAAGATCTTCCTTCACCCTAACCTCACAAACTCATCTAGTCATAACCCAGTGATTCTCAACTCAAGACACCTATTCCTTGTTCCCACTTCTGAGACCAACCACTTAACTCCTTTACACTTCAGTCTTCCTCACCGGAAAGGAGAATTGTTTCTGCCCCATCTCAGTAAGGAGTTCTGAGGGTAAATGGGGCCATACACACCCATGAAACACTCCACTTGGAACAAAGGTTCCAACTGAAATCAAGGTGCTATTTTGGTTTCCTATTTCCCTGTGGTTTTTGCCATTTGAAAATCTGGGCCAGTAGAGAAATCTATAACTCTCTGCCACCTTGAATTTGAAATTTTGACTTGCTCGACATTTTTCAAAAGTACCTTTTAAACAGTGAATGCAAGTTTGCTGGTTTTGTTCACCGCTTAAATGAAAGGAACATCTTTTGCAGTTAAGTTCTTCCCCTTGGGACCGTTTGGAAACCTAGGCTTGACAGTGAATCCCTGGGGCTCTGGAGACAGGAAGTCAAACCCCCCACTGGGCCTGCCTAGAGCAGCTTGGGAAACAGCCAGGGAAGAAGAGTCACAGGTGGAAGGAGAACACCCAAAGGCTGGAGATTCTGTGTTTGTTAGTCAGGATCTTGGGTGTGCTGAGGATATACCTCTCTCTCTCTCTCCCCCTTTCCTGAGTCTCCCTCCAGATGAAACCATTCCAGTCTAACAACAGAATGTGCCCCTGGCTTTAATGCCTGAGATATGAAACATCAAACTGGGAAACAAAAGGGTTTATCATAGAAGTTCGGGGAGGACCACAGGTGCATCTCAATAGGTAACACAGAAATGACTGCAAATTACCAAAGTGCTCCACTGAGGAACAGTGACTTATCCCTAAATCACCATGTAGGCAATAGGGCTTGGGGTGAAATTCACTTCACCACACTCCTAAGTTCTACCACCATCCTCTGCTTCTTCCAGAAGAAAGAGGAAAAGGAAAATTTGAAATAGGCAAGAAGAACCCCTATCACCCCACCCTATCTCCCAACAGAACAAAACAGAAGAGCTCTCAGGTGCACAGGCAGGGGCCAGAGACTATCTCCTTGCCACAAAGCAGAGGCCTCACCCCTGTGGGCTTCACCTGCCCATACCCTAAAGTCAAACCTGACTCAAAGAGAAAGGGCACGGATTATGGAAAGTTCCAGTCCAAGACCCGGGCCTCAGCCATGCAGTCTGGCCCTGACCCACACCTCTACTCTGTTCCCATGCCTTGGTCACCATGCCCATGAAGTGGGCCCTGGCTTGTCTGGGCCAGTGCCCATCACCCATGCTGCAGAGCTCCCGGAGCCTGACCCTAGCAAAGCAAGAGCATAAACCTGGAGGCCCCACTCTGCAGCCCACAAGCTAGGTGACTAGGGGTTTGTTTATAACTGTCCCACAGGAAAAATGGACACAGTAGAAGCAACACCACACTTCCTACTGGCATGAGCAGAACACCTGTGCACCAGACCTCAGCAGCTGCCAATAGCCACACAGAGGGGCACACGGTGTTCTGATCCACAACCAGGCCTGAGAGTTACGCTACAAACAGTTCGCTGTAAGTCAGATCTTCCCCACAAATTATTACAATGACAGAAGAGCATAGTGGTTTAACACGCAGGCTCTGAAGCCAGGCTGCCCCTCACTGATAAGCTGTGTAACCCTGGGCAAATGGTTTGATTGCCTGGGCCTCGGTTTCCTCACTGACCATATGGGGCCAATAACAGTACTTCACGCATGCGGCTATTATAAGGATTAAAGAGTAAATACATGTCAAGCACTCTGAAGAGTGTCTACTATAGCACATACATATAAAAATGTTATATACTGGGTGGCGCCTGTGGCTCAGTGGGTAGAGCGCTGGCCCCATATACCGAGGGTGG